TTTGAGTACCTTCGTTCCGGTTCGGTCAGTGTTTTGCTGACATAGAAAACTGGGAACTGCTTACCCTCTTCACATCATATCAGAACGCCGCTAGTTGCAACATTTAAAACCCTAAGGTATAGGAAAAGCTTCTCTCCTAGTTTTGGGGCAGTCAGGACTGGTGGGTTTTGCATATATTCTTTCAACCTGGTCAATGCTTGCCTCTGCTCATCCCCCCAGGATTGCTTTCCATGACTTCTTATTATATCAAAGAATGGCTTACATCAGTCTGACAACTTAGAGATGAATCTACTCAGTGCCGCTATGTGTCCGGTGAGAGCTTGTACTTCCTTGACAATACTTGGTTCTGCATTTTTTAGTAGAACTTCTGTTTGGGTTGGGCTAACTTCAATCCCTCTGTTGTTGACTACGTGGCCAAGAAATTGCCTAGATCCTACGCCGAACGAGCACTTGGTTGGATTCAACCTCATTCCATATTTTCTCAATATTCCGAACACCTCTTGCAAATGTTGCAAGTGATGGTCCTTCTTGTTTGCTCTTTACTACCATGTCATCGATGTAAGCCTCCACAGACTTACCCGTTTAATGCTTGAAAATCCTGCTGATTAACCTCTGGTACGTAGCTCTGGCATTCTTCAGACTGAACGGCATGACCTTATAACAATAGATCCCTCGTTCAGTGACAAAAGAGGTCTTTTCCTCATTGTTCGGATCCATTGGGATTTGATTGTAGCCTGAATAGGCATCCAAAAAGGTCAGTTGTTCATATCCAGTCATTGCATCCACCATCTGATCAATCTTTGGAAGTGGAAAGCTATCCTTCGGGTAGGCTTTATTCAGATTGGTGAAGTTAATGCAAACTCTCCACTTTCCATTCTTCTTTTGCATTATAACCACGTTCAACAGCCATGATGGATATTGAACCTCTCTGATGAACCCAGCTTCCAACAATCTATCAACTTCATCAGCGATGATCTGGTAGCGCTCTGGGGTGAACCTCCTTTGCTTCTGCCGTACAGGCTTAAAGCTCGGATCTACATTAAGGGAATGACAAGAGACAAAGGGGTCGATCCCCGGCATGTCCGAATGGCTCCAAGCGAACACATCTGCATTCAGAGAGAGGAAATCAACTAACTGGCGCTTTTCTTCCTCTGCAAGCCCTGAGCCCACTTTTGTGGTTCGGTCTGGCCTTAAATGATCAATCTGGACATCAATTAAAGGCTCCTCGGTCAACACCGGGGGCTCCTCCTCCCCGTTCGTGCTGGGGGGAGGCTTCTGTAATTGCTATGCTGGGCTAACAGAGCGGACGGGAGCTTTTCCCTTCCCTGCGGCTTTCAAAGTTACCGAGTAACATTTCTTGGCAGCAACTTGATCCCCATAGATATCAATCACCTTGCTTCCATCCGGGCTCAAACATAGCATTACCTGGTGCAGGGTCGATGGGACTCCCTGGACTCTATGAATCCACCCTCTTCCAATTAGCAGATTGTACGACGGATAGATTTCAACTACTACAAAGCTTTCAACAAGTTCCCTTTCGGCAGCTCGGACAAGCAATTCTACTGTGCCGATCGGTCCTACTCGTTTTCCATCGAATCCCAACAACGGATTTCCAGTACATTTAAGTGCCTTCGGCTTGATCTCTAGCCGATCGAAGGTGACCCTTGGCATAACATTCGCACTGCTCCCTGGATCAATTAGCATTCTTCGTACCAGGCATTCGGCGACCGTCAAGCTAACAACCAAAGGGTCTTCATGAGGAACCTGAACTCGCAGCAAATCCGTTCTGTCGAACTTTATCTGTGTTGATGCGCGCTGCTAGTGCAGAGCGTTCACGCTGCCTATCCTCCTCTTCATTTGTGCTTGACGGAGACATGTTCGGAGCAACTCTTCAGACTCTGCTGTCTGTTCAGGTCGGCCATGAATTGCATTTATAATCCGTACGGGCTGAGCGTTTTGGTGATTCGGCTTCTGATTTCTCTTGACTTGCTCAGCTGCTCGGCTCTGCTCCTGTACTGGCCCTTGAACATATCCTGCAAAGTCTCCCCTTGTGATCAACATCTCCACTTGCCTCCTTAAGTTCCTGCATTCATTAGTCTGATGACCAAAGTCACTTTGAAAAGCACAATGTTTAGATTGGTCCCTCTGTTCAAGAGGTTGTCTGATTGGTAATGGAGGACAAAACTTATCTTTGTTCTCTTGATACAGTTATGCTAGAGTGACTTTGAGGGGAGTAACCAGCTCTTCTTCTCTGGGCCTTTTCTCTGCCTTCCAGGAGGTCTGACGTTGTAGTGGAGCCTGCTTTTGCTGAATCTTGGCTTTTGACTTCTCCACTGTTGAGAAAATCGACGTTTTTCTCGCATTAGCTGCTTCCTCCTCTTCCAAATGCACGAAACCATCAGCCCTTTCATTCAGCTCATCCATGGTCTTCGACGTATCCACCACCAGGCTTGTATAGAATGGTGTCCCTCGGTTCATGGCCAATTTGAATGCTTGAACCGCCGTGGACGGGTGACATTCCATTACCATGCTCTTGACAAGATTGAACCTGGTGAGGAAAGCTTGAAGCCGTTGATCTTCATGCTGCTTCATAGTAAAAAGGCTTGAAACATCTTTTGCTGGGCGCTTGTTCCCGTAGTACTAGCTGATGAACTTATCACACAAGTCTTGGAAGCTAGCGATTGAGCCTTGAGTCAGATTCTTGAACCAGTTGAGGGTTGGCCCTGCCAAGCTTGTAGGGAAGCATTTGCACATCAAAGGGTTATTGTTCGTATTCAAAGTTATTTTCAACTGAACGTGGTAAATGTGATCGATCGGGTCAGTCGGTCCATCGAACAGAATGAATACCGGCATGGAAAACTTCCTCGGATTCGGAGCGTTCAGGATTTCGCTAGTGAACGGTGATGTAACCGTTCTTGCGGAGGAACGGAGTGCTTCATTCTCCCTTGAAAACCATAGTGGAATCCTTGGATCTGCAGATCTTCCTTCTGAACTCCTGTAATCATACGTCGCCATTGAAGGCCGGTAGGGTGGATCAAACGATCTGTCATCTGTGAATCCCCTACGCCACGGCGATGGAGCTCCATGATGGCCAAACTCCATTGCTTCATCACGCCGTAACCTTCCCTGAGTTGGATCAAAAGCGGCGGCTTCTTCTCGCATGATCCGTTCGCGATGCGGATCCAAGTGGATAGATCTTTCCCGCTCCTCCATCTGACGGACGTTTGGAGGTAAATCGCTTGGCACAATCTCCTCGTGATGAAGATCCATACGATTGTTTCCTTCCGGATCATCGTGATGAGCAGCACTGGATGGCACAACTCCCTCTCCTACTGGAGGTGGCCTTGGAATAACAGGAGCCTCACGACGCTCCATTCCTGCTCGCAATTCTGCATTCTCTCTCCTTAGTGCTTCGATTACACTCATCAACTCATCGAGCTTCGACTGCTGGCCATTATCCAATGGATTTGAGCTCTCACCTCCGATCATCCTTCTTGACCGGAGCAAAGTCATTAGCTGCAAATTTCTAATCAGATTTGAGTTTCGCTAATGCGATCGCACTAGATCTAGACTCAAATCAGCTGAATTCCGATCTTTCGAGGCCAGATTCAAACTTCTTCCTCCGTGAACTCGTCAGGTTTATTTCCGCCAAACAAAACACAATCGCGTTGATCCACTGAACAGGCACAGATCAGATCTACGTAAATCGAACACGTATCTCTCACAAACAACCAGAATTTCAATTCCGCATAACAGATAACGATTTTGCCGATCTTGATTCAGCTTTTTCCTTATGAATCACTCGCGATCAAATCACTCGCGATCAAATCACTCTTGATCGATCATCAATCAATCTTCATCGTTTCCCACAGACGGCGCCAATTGAAGATGCAAGAAATTTCTCTCTTAATTTCAACAGAGTTTTATTACACTTCGATATTTTTCTCCCCTTTTTTCCCTCTATTTTCAGTCTATTTATAGACTGTTACAATGGTCCTAGAGGTTTCCTAATTAATTCCTTGCGCTGGGCCATGTTTTGGGCTTTCCTTGACATGGGCTCGATTATTTTTAGCAGGCCTTCAGCATCACTGTTCAATCTTGGGCCTAGCTTGAGACTGGTTGGTTTGGATCAGGATCACTTACTTGGCCCATTTTGTGTCATGTGGGCTGTATCCGATCCGCGCCGTACTTGGTGTCCTCAGGATATTATACTGTTCTTTCTTTTGGTAATTGTATTGCCCTAATGGTCATCATTTTCATGAATTAAATCATCCATTATGTCATTTTTTCATAATATTTGCATTTTATACTTAAAAACAAGTTAATAGATGGATTACACGACCAATTTAATTTAAATAGCTTCTTAAACAGGTTGGGTCAGGTTGTAAGTTAGCGGCTCATTTATTAAACAAGTTACACGGGTCGTATCATGTTATCTATTAAATAAACAGGTTTTGTTTGTGTCAATGGTTCCTGACATGATTATTAAACGGGTGATGTTTGAGTTGACCTATATAATAGAATACTATTAGGTTGGCATGACACAGATATGACCCGCCAACATGACTCGCCACCCCTACTGAGAACTACACTCAGTTCATGTTCAGTCTTACTCTCAACCCATCTACACCCACCAACACACAAACACACTCCAAAAGAGAGACAAAGCAGCTGCATTAGGTAAACAGCAAGTGTAGAGCCTTCATACGAAACTTTAGAAAATGAATTTTGAGGAGAAAAGTGATTAGCTAACCGCAATCATTGGTAATAAACTTCATCATCTCTAATATGTATGAAATCCAGATGAATTTTTACACTTTTATGTGACTTCAAAGATACTCTCTATTATTAATCTCAAAATAAAAAATTTCACATATGTTGATTAGTGCATAAAAACGAATTTTATTTTCTCTCACGAGTATGATTTTCTTGCAATTATTTGTGAATGTTTCAGCTTGGTTCTGACAATATATGTTTGTGCCATGGATTGTCTGGTATAGCGTAATGCAGGTAGCATGGAAATCGGTGCTAGATGGCGTGAAGGAACTTTTGCTTGTAATTTAGCAAGTTCAAGTGCGTGTACTCCTCTTGCCCCTGGCGGTGTTGAAAGGATGAGTTTTGAGGAGCATAAGGACACAAGCAAAATGAATGAATGTCCTAGTTTTGATCTTGGATTTTGAACAAGGACCGCTTCATCTTCATTTCCTTTGTTCCTTTTCAATACAGTTCATGGCGATGCCCTGTTATAGAGGAAATGTCTGTGAATCTGAGAAAGTTGTTAAGACATAGTACCATGCAGTATGGATGTTGCAGGGCCATCCAGTTTCTCCTTTGCTGCGAAGGAATCTTGGACGCCAATAACTTGTCAACATAGATACTCGTGAGCATTCGATCTGTGCAATATTCTTGTCATTTTTGCTTTAAATTTCATATCAATGAAAGAGTGGAAAAAAAGATGGCAGTTTTTTTAAACACTGGTGCCCTGCCTCATTCTTTGTGTTTTGAGAGATTGAGATACGTGAGTAAGCCATCATTTTTTTTCTCTGTAACACTGAAAGTCGACAATTCCCCTGGGCACATACAAAATTATAGATTTTGTATTCTAGACTTTTCAGTTATGATTTATATTGTTGATCTTTCAGCTACTTATTATCTAGTTATCTGTATTGTGTCAATTTCGTATGTATTTTTTTACAATTTGTTCATGTTGGTATGACTGCTGGCGAACATGAGCAGTGTGATTTTGAGGTGTTCCCCGAATACCTATATAGCCAGTTTACGAGTTTTTGAAGCAGATGTGTGATTGGTTATTGCTACCAACTGGTGTGAAAGAGATGCGATGCAATGCAAATCAAAAGGAAATCTTCCAGCTTGATGTTTGGATGTCAATATGCCAAGGTTACGAAGGCTTTGGGAAGTAAATTACCAAGTTCTACCATGGTAAGGATATACATTTCCAAGCACTATACAATGCCTAAGAACTCAAATACAGGAAATGCAGTGAAGCCATTGTATCGTGAGATGTTGCTTGCCAGAGGTTTTTGAGAATCAGATAGAAATGGGGTTGTGCATCTAAGAAATGAGGGCGTGTTTATTTTTTATGTTGATCATGATCACAGGCAAGTAACCTCTGATTCGCTCTCCAGTCTTTCCCTCCCAGTTTTCCCCAGCATCTTTTGTAAGAGTACGGGCACAAGGTAGTGACCTTTTTATGATTAGAGGCCATGTTTGGATGGTACAACCAAAGAGGTTTGGTTCTATTTCTTCGACCTAATGATACTTTCTGCATGTAGAACTGTCAAACGGAAGTGGATCAGAGAAGCCCGTCATTGTGACAAATTGAATTGCCTTTTTCAGTGAGCTTGTACATGCTTTGTAGTTTATTGATAATAGAAACACCAGTGAACGGTAATGTTGATGTTAATATACATGAGTCGTATGGGAACCACACAATGTGAAAAGCTTAACTATGCTACTTTTTCTTTGTCCTCTCAGTCACCACCATCTATGTATCTGTACACCCTGTCATCCTTTTTGGACTTGCTCATGCTGAGCAAGGCTTTTAGAAGGCGTCTACTTCTCTTGGAATGTTGTTCCATCTCTTTAGCCCTCTCTTTTTCAGCACGGTTAGGCAGTGAAACAGTTCTCCGATGCTCTGATGGCCACTGTCAACAGATGAGAAGATTTCCGAAGGTCATGACTATAACATATTCAACAGTGCAAGAAGCAATGACCATTACAGCTAAAACTCTCAATGCTTACCTGCTGCTTAGCATTGAAAGAGTTTGGAGTGATTGGTCTACTGACAAGAGATCCGGAACGGTTAAGTGGAAACCAAAGTGGGGAAATTGCTCGCTTCCCTGATTTCAGATAACGTGGTCACTAAAACATTTCCGAGTATAATTTTATTAGAATTTGTCGATTTGTACTAACCTAATTCTTTGTTGGATGCAATCCTAGTGAATGAAAAGGCTCCAGGACATGCAGGAGATTCCCTAGAAGGCAACCTAGAGTGCCCTTTTCTGCAGAAGTGTTTGGTGAAATTAAGGCACAGACAACGTCATCATAATATTCACATTGCAAAATCGACATTTTTACCTGATTAATGGTGAACGCGGCTGCTGCACTTTTGCTGCTTGAAGAGCTTCTGCAAACAATCAACACAAAAGATTATCGGCCTTTTTGTCCAAGTAACATGGACATTGCACATAAGCAACTGCAAGTGTACTGTCTTAATATGTTGAGGAATGAAGACACATCATGGCCATCACGGAGGATGTGAGCTTCAGTCCTTAGACTAAGCCAAGGGCACCAAATTATGATTGAAGCTCACGGTGCCCTTTGAAAGGCAGACGCCATATGAATGAATAATGGAAGAAAAGCCTTACTGTTCTTAGATTGATGAGAAACTTTTTGAGCACGTAGGACACAACTGTTGTATATTGATTTACTGTTGTCAATAGCATGGATAGTCTCCCCAACTGAACACAAAAGAATGGCATGTTACAAAAGTAAGGTCTGAGAGGTTGAAAGAGAAAAACATATCAGAGAACATGTTTTACCTGGAATGATATAGCCCTTATAATACTTTGGAGTTCTCACCACAGATGATTGCTGATAAAGGCCACCACGGTCGATGATATCTTGACATGTTCGTAATCTCTAACATGCCCAAAAAAAAACCCCAATTTCACAATTCACTCACAACTCTCTTTAAAGTTAAATTTTGTTCATGTTTTTCTTCTTTCGAGTATTTTACAAAGAAAGCTACCACCACATAGAGATAGTGAAACCGAAGAGTACCTGTTCGACACAAGAGAAGCGAAGCTCTGTTCCAGAAATTTCATCAACTTTTTCATCCAAGAAATTGTTGACCTTGTATGCTATAGAACCCAAGTGATCCACGGTGCTAATAAGAGCTTTTGTAGCATAATCTTTCAAGGTTTCCACCACTCTATACATGTCAACAAAGACGATAATAACTAGGAATTTAAGAACAGCTGAGATGAAAAAGAACTTCCAATCTCTCAAACACGACACCAATTATTTACACACACACACACATGAAAAAACTCGGTGACTCACAACTGTTTCTGGTCATCTTTGCAATAAGATAGTTCAAAATACTCTGCAGCTGAGTACAACTGCCTCCTCAGATTCTTCAGGTCCTAATCATCAAGTGCAGTGGAAAAGTGGAACTTTATATATCTAAATTTGCATAAAATAGCCACACAAAGTTGTACTCTTCATGATGTATTTATATTTCTAAATTTGCATAAAATAGCCACACAAAGTTGTACTCTTCATGATGTATTTATATTTCTAAATTTGCATAAAATAGCCACACAAAGTTGTAATCAAACCACTTACCAACTGAAATAATGTGCATACAAGGATTGTCTTGAATTCCCTACCAATTCCATCTATAGGATGAGGCAATGTGCAAAAAACCTATGTAAAATTCTCATGATATATTTTGATGGCGGGAAGTCTAGGGTTCAAGTCTCACCACCTTTTGCAATTGTTCCCTATTTCGTCTGTCAGGGCTTAATTTATTGTGATACAATAATAAATTTTGATTTGCAATAGGATTGAACGTGAAAGAGGATGGTAGGGCTTAATCTGCATACATAATTAGGCCGAGCTGGTGTTCTAATTAAACAGAGTGCACAACGGCGTCGTGATCATATATATATATATATATACCTTCAAACTATCTGAAAAGAGCAAGCTCTGCTGCATGAAGAGTTCATCTAAATTGGAAGCTTCTTGAGGGCCATTTACCGAACTCGATGAAGTCTCACTGTCCATGAAATTGATCCTATCTTCCTTCTTCACCTGACACAACAATTAAAACCAAACACAATAGTGAACTGAAATTGATCCAAAACCCCCTAAACAGGAATATAATTGGCAAATAAGCAACATATATATGAAATATATATATATATATATATATATACCAAAGTTGTAAGGAAGCTACTAAAAATCCTTTGAAGTCACTGATTTTTTTTTTATAGAAAAATTGAGACAGAGAAGAAATTCAAAGTGATTCCAGAGTGTCCAAAACTTCCCAAGTAGCAATGAATAAACAATGAAATTGCAAGAAATGATGATGAGAGGAAACCTGGAAAGTGAAGGAATGAAAACTAGGGTAGATTATAGAAGGCCAAACAAGATAGGTTGATGGGGCAAGAAGAAGGAAAGAAGAAAGTGAAGTTGTAGAAAGAAAGAAAGAAAGAGAGTATGGACGGGGGTAGTGAAGGAATGGGAAAAAAAGGGGACAAAGATCAACAATAGAAGACGGGGTTGGGTTGGGTACTACTGGGTTGTGGGGTTTCAAGAATCTAAAGTCTCCGTTCGTTATGGGATCGCAAGCCATACCTGCTCTTTAAACAAAAACTGTACCTCTCAAAACAAACTTCCACAACCTCCTCCTCCTCCTCTCTCTCTCTCTCTCTCTCACACACACACACACACATTATGTTTTATTAAATGGTATTGCATTATGATATGGTTGTGTTACTTTGGTGGAAGTAGGAGGAGATTCAGATTTCACAATGAACAATATTTGTTACTGCAATGAAATTACAGACGATGCGTATGTGTAATTGGATCACTTCAGCAAATCAGTATAGATCACTTACTCACTTGTAAATAAGTAAGTATTATCTTTTGTAATTTGGATATAAAAAAGAAAAAATAAAATGGAAGCTTGGAATTGTTATTAACTTTTTTCTCATTTTATTAGTTGAATTACTATTTTGATAGAGAAAAATGAAAAATGAAGAACTGATCCACCTTTGAATTGTTTGAGAGTTGGATAAGTTCAACTTTTTTTTTTATTTATTTTTGTTTTTTTATGTGAGTAGAGAGTTGAAGTTATTAAACTTTGATGATGACATCATAATAAAGTCATTCTTTAAGGTTTAGTAGAGAGAAGAAGGACATGTCATCATTTCTCTGATTCTTTTCCTCTAATTTCTGGAGGAAAAGATTTGGTGAATTGGAGAGATTTTTTTTCTTGTTTTCTTTTAATATTAGAATGAAAAAGACTGACTAACCGAATATTTTTGACTCGCTAATTATGCACAATACAAGGGAGTAGAAACACTTAATTTTTGTTGTCGTATAAATAACTAATTAAAAAATAATAATTCTAACAATTCATTCAACAAATCGATAAAAATATCATTTTCCTTTCATACCATCTGGTATCTAATGGAAGGAAGCTTTAGCTTTGGTTGAGCTGGTGACACTAATTAACCCATCATAAATTATTACTTCTGCCTGGTCATAAATTAGATTAAGACGGATCACCACGTCACTGTTTGAGACCCATTAATGACTGACTGAATGAGGCGGTGATCTCTACGACCATTGAATTCATCTCGTCATATTCAATTAAAACCCCTACGAGGAAGGAACCATACCTCATGTGCCTTTCTCATATTCAATTAAAACCCCACAATTGGACAACCCTACGACCAAGGAACCATACCTCCCTCATGTGCCTTTCTTAGAGTTAACAAACCTGTTTCTTTGCCGGCTAACCGTTCAATTACCGTTGTAATTTTATTATTATTTTTATTTTTATCTTTTTATTTCCGTGACATGTGATTTGCTAAAATCAAATACTCTCAAATTATACAATAATTTCTTTAAATAGATGTCTTATGTGACTGTCAAAGTTCTTGAAATTTTTTTTTACATGGAATAGGAAATTTTTTAAAAGATATATATATATATATATATATATATATATATTTGATTGTCAAAATATACAAGTATAATATTTTATTAAAGCCTATTAAAAATAATTTACACTCCAATTTTCAACATATTATTTTATATGCCTAATCCGACAGACTCGGCTTCAATCTCGACCTCAACTTTTGTCAAATACCGAAATATATATATATATATATATATATTATCTGAAAAGAAAAATATTTTTTAAAAAAGATATTTTACGAAACAAACACTAATATATTTTGAAAATGGTAAACTCATTTTAGTAATTTTAGTATTTATAAAAAAAGAGAGAGAGAGAGAGAGAGAGAGAGATCCTCTCTTTCACACAATACACGCACTTTCAAAGACTCCAAAATTCAAGTCTCACTTGGACAACGCCACGAGGATGCAAAAGTCTAATCAATACCTCATGTCACTTTCAGCTATTTTGTTTGTCCGGTTGAACCCGGAATTACGAGCGGAGAAAACTGGAAAGATCTCTAGAATATAAGAAAATGGATTTGTTTTGGCAGATTCTAACTACTTTATCAAAACATTATTGAAAAAAGACAACAATTTGAGCTTTAGAAACTCCAATTATAATATGGTGGTTGAGAGTTCATTATTAGACCCCTGTACTTCAACTCTAATTTCAATTTTTCTAATGAATAAACACATTTCAACTGTGTGGTGTCGGCCGCTAGTGATAACCTTAGAAGCTTCTCACTATGTCATTAGCTAATGTGATTCCATTAATAAGGATGCCCTAAAAGGTAGATATTGGGTGCCGTGTATTTGTATTTTTTCATTGGGTGAACATGCCAATTATAAGATTCATTTGAAACATTCAAAAATCATTTTTTCATTGGGTGAACATGCCAATTATAAGATTCATCTTAAACATTCAAAAACCGTGTTTAACGTTAATACATTAACGGTGGTTGCACACCCAATATCTTCTGACTAAGAAGAATTAGATTTTTAATACATTATAATGGCCCTAGTACCTCAAAACCCATGCGCATACTTGTTTTTTAACTCTCAAAACAATTCTCAAAAATTCAAAAAATAGAAAAAAAAATTCAGAGTTCCATAAAAGACTATTCTCTAAAAATAGGTCTTTTTATAATTGAGTTTTCACAAAATAATTTTCAAAAAACTGAACCAAACGGAGTTTTTTGTATAATTTTCTGTTTTCTGTTTCTATAGTTACAAATGTAACCAAGCAAGCCCCATGTTTTCAGGCATGATGGTGCACCAAGATTTACCACCGCAACACCAAACACCAATTTCACTCAACCTTTTTAAATTCTAAATGTTATAGGTGTGAAGTATCATTTCATTGATACTCATCAATGAAGATGGTTTAGATTTATCACCACCCAATGGAGTTGAAGAAGTGATGACCTGCAATTAGTAGGTGGAAAGTTGGAACCAAATTTAATTAATGTAATAATTGGATATAATATGGTGGTTGGATCTTGCTCTTAGGAAGTGAAAACCTGTGAACTTATTCATCAACCCAACAAGTTATTAATTCTCTCTCTCTCTCTCTCTCTCACACACACACACACACACACATGCCAACTGCAAGTAGAAGACTTCACCAACAAAGCCAATGAAATGAAGTAATGCAGATGGGAAGGTATGGCTTTGAACAAGTTTATTTTAATTCTCTCCAACTCTTTTCTGGTACAATCATTGTGCATACTTTATTTTATTCGTCTCCGAGTAGAAGGAATGAGAAAAGCTGAAATCTTCCGACACCAACAAGAAAATCATATAATTTACAGGTAGTCTTATTATTCAACCTTATATAGTAATTGCACTATGAAGAGAAATATCAAGAGGACAGTGAAGACCAACCATAAAGGAAACAACACTAAGGAGTAATCCTTGTAAATACAGACAACTGCTAAGGCACAAGGGATAATAGATGCAAGAAGAGAGACAATTTGAGATAAAATAATCGTAAGAGTCGCAAAAATTGGTACATTCATATATGAACCTGCTTTTCTGGAAGATCAAAAGTATTTTCTTCCCTAACAAACTCGTTTACGAAATCCCCAGTGTCTCCGGTCTCAAACCTCTTATTGATTTATATGACCTTTTCATGTTCTACCTATAATACCTTCATTTCTTCCCCTAAGTTGGACGTATTAAAATTGAAACACAAGCTGTTTCAATTTCGAGTTCTTTCCTACTCAACTCAATGCAGAGAAAAGTTAACAATACGGATAAATGGGCAATGCACAATTTTTAAGCAGTTTCCACTACTGCACCTACTTAAAACGTTCTTCCTATCAAAGACTGTAGCTTGATGGTATCTCTTCTACCTTCAAGCGTGGAAGGTGAGGGATCGAGTCCTTGTAGGGACAAATGGGGGTGTGAGAAGAAAAAGAAATAAAATAAAATAAAAAAAACAAAACAAAAACGTCTTCATCCAAATTCAAGCATTCAAACATTTCCTCAAAAGACTTTCTCATCATGTGTTGTTGATATTGACTCTTTCATCAATTTTCAATTTTTGAGTCAATGCAATTCCCTTATTATTTCCATATAAATGCATGTGCAAAGACAGAAATTTAACTGTTTGCTCAACTGATATAGTTATCTTAGTTTTTTTGGCAAGTCAACTTCGCCAAATGTAACAATAACAGCAAGTTCACAACAGTATATTAATTATTGTTAGCGAATGTAAGTTTGACACACAAAACAGATGCACATTTGATCATGCTTCTTTTATCTAAGGGCATTCATGCTCAGGGATACAATTGAAAACAGAGAAGAAGACTGACCTGAGTAACCTCTAGGGGAATCAAACATGTCATAGTTCAATCTAACCAGCAGACTTCATACGGTGCATCAGAACCTCCCAAGGCTCCTATTTCAACTAGTTATAGGACTCAAGACGGTGATTGACAAAAGGTGATGATTGGAATAAGCCTATTCCGGGAGTTATACTACTACATTTACATACAAAAATCAGGCAAGGTAAAATGTCAAGGATTAGCAGTACTGTCAAGTATGCGAGTCCTCCCTCTATCACACAAAATGTTAATATGATACAAAAATAGACAATGCTCTGCGGACCAATGGCTTCATTCCCTACAATCATATACTTCTCAGTTTACATGTTCAAGTATAACTGCGAGGGACAGAGAGTTCACTTGTGTGATGGTCGAACAAATCAGAAACTTTGAAGTACATGCCTCACTGCTATTCCTGAATCTGGCATTATAGAAGGGAACAAGGAAATCGACAAATCAGTATCAATGGAAGAGCCAGTTTTTTTATCATGCGTTGCTTCAAATAAATAAAGCCAAAACCACAAAAATTTACATTTGAATCAAATATTGCTACAAAATAAAATCTGGTCCATGGAAATATAGCAACTGAAAATCTAAATGGGTTCAAAGCAACTTTTCAACTAGGCTTATTTAAATACAGAACGAAGCATATCTTGCTGTTATGAAGGAAATTGTCAATCAGAAAAGAGAAAAATGTTACTCTCTTTTAGCAAATGTGCTTTAGAAAAACAATCATGAGTCCTCCTCAGCGAAACATCATGAAGATTCTTGATACATGTTAACTGTACGCCTCGACCTTGCGTTGACTTCAGTATTGTAGCTTGATTTCCATAAACACATTTTTTTTTATAAGTAAAAATTTCATAGAAGGGCGCTCAAGATGGGAGTGCTCCCAAAGGAATACACAAAATGCCAAAGGCGACAACTAAAGCTTTAAACTATCCACAAAATCCAAAAGAACCCCCAAAGATTTACAATTCCGCCCGTTAACCCAAAAGAATAAACTATGCAACATAGTGTATTTGAGAGACCAAATAGGAGTCTCCTTGCCCTCAAAATGTCTCCTATTTCTCTCGTGCCACAAACCCCACCAAATACAAAGGAGAGTGGCCTTCCAAACAACCTTGGCTCGGCTCTCCACTAGACACCCTTTCCAAGCCTCAATCAAATCCACCGTGGTTCTAGGAAACACCCAAAACATGCCAAAAGCAACCAAAAACATAGACCAAACATCCCTTGCCATAAACACAATATCAAATTAATGTTGGGACTTCACAAATCCCACCATCTATGCAAGCATTAACACAACCATCGCACAAGCAATTAATGTGCTTTAATTATGAAAGGGTGACAACAACATGCAACCCGACAAGGGAGATCCACTCAGGTTGACAAAATAACAAAAAGAGTTCTTATATCTTGTGAAACTACTTCAGCAAATTAATGGGCAAATGTGTAAGATTGTCAATTCAGGGATATACTTCAACTCTAACCCAATATCTGAATATGTATGCCTACTTATACCTACTACTTGAACATTATGAAAATTGGTTGTTATCTTTCTTTATGGGAATTCTTATATCTAGCAAGCAATACAAACAAAGACATTTAGGCTCGAGCAGGAGTGGGCTGACGCGCATGTATGTGACACAGAGAGAGAGAGAGAGAGAGGGCCCAAGGGATATGCGCTCCAGTCCGTAAGGCACCATATATTCTCCAACCTGTTTGAAAAAAGCTATTTATCCTTATGTAAGCATTCAGGGATATGAAGATCAACTAGGTTTCAACTAGAGACAATCACACCATAACAAGAGATGATAATCACTTTGACTGAGACATGCATCCTAAGGAAAATGTGTTCCAAGGGTACCACAAGCACTTATGGTGACATGGAGGGGTACTGAAGGACTAATCCGTTGGAAAACGTTTTTCATACCGGAAGCGAAAATTTCCTCAATTGTTTTTATGAATCAATTAAGAGATAGAACAATTAATACGACCTTTGAACAACTTGTAGATTGTCAATTATGAGAACACTCTAATTCTTTTCTTGAACAATCTAGAATTCTTGAGCTTCAATTCTCCTCTTGAACTTCACTCCTATGGCCTTGTATGGAATCCACAAGCATAGGAAGAGTGGGCTTCAAATTCTCTAAGAATTGGAGTTTTAGAGAGAATTTTCCACTTTAGAATAACCTAGGGTTCGTCGCCCCATACTCTCTCCTAATTCCACTTTAACCTTTGTTTACTCCCCAAGTTCGGCTAGGAAAGTAGGTAAGCCTATATATGTCTTGGCTACAATGGGCCTAATTAAATGGCTTGTCAACTCTTGAACTTATTTAATAAGTCCATAAATAATTTTCAATACCACTAAATGAAAATATTTGCACTTCAATCCATGAATAAAGAAGCCACTAAAATACTAAATATTGCAAATCAACCCCTCCATGTTATTAGTTGTTTGGATACCATAATAAATCTCACCATCAATCCAATATACTAATCAATCCATATTTTGGCCACTTGGTTTTTAACCTATTTGATCACATAAAGTTTATTTAAGAAAATAATATATTTAAATAAATAAATAAAACTATTTACTATATAAAACTGACCAATTTTTCAGTGATCAACCAAATCAAACCAAAATATAAATACCACATGGATTCCATCTTGAGAAGTATATTCCAAAGCCCATAATAATTGATTACCCAAAAATACAAGGCATATTAAAGTTCTTAAGGATCTCACCCATAGTAAATTAAAGTAACCAAGACTATGAACCAAGGTTCATAAATATCTCAGGATTAAGAGTTTAATTGCTTTAGTAATGATAAGAAAAATTATTTATGATGGGTTAAGTAATTTTCTACTAATCCTTGATCCAGTTCAATGTCATACACACTGAAACGCGTGGTTTTGAGTCTTACATTCAAATGACGGAGAAAAGCCATGCTATCATGTAGAAACAAACATGTAACATTCATTCAAATAATATTAATAGAAAACCCAATTCTATTAATGAATGTAGACAATTTTAAAATTATGAATACCGATGGTTTATATCTCCTATAAACAGGACTTCTCCCTTTGTACATAAATCATCCTATTACAATTAAAGGACACTTAATTCAACTCTTAAATTAACCAATACAAGCATTCACCATATATACGTAAAAAATATAAAACTCAAATTTTATTTTAAAACTAAATGTCAATTACAATCCATAGTTGGCATTGTAGGGCACACAATCCCAACATCATCACCCCGAGTGTACGCAGCCTAAAGAACCAATCTATCAACAAGAGTCTACTAAACTTGTTGGTCATCTACCATTGTGAAAGGCATTCATTGATCTGTGGACTACCATGGCTAAGGCAATCAACACGGTTCATCCTCTAGTTTAAGTCAAGAAAATTACCAAGAAGGGTAGAGCAGTTTACAAGGCCACCACATGGGGATGGGGGGCCACACAGAGTGTCAAGGAGATGATTGAGTAATGTATAGTCCAAGGAAACTATATCAATTTGGTATCTACAAACTTCACCCTTTGGGCCTTACCTTATCAACAAATAATATGCACATAATATCATCATTTAGTCACCAAGTTAATATAATCATTTAGTCGCCAAAACTTGGTCACTTTATTGACATTGTAGCTTTATTTCTTGATTATAGATCATGGGAGACCATATTGATTTGTCAATGAAACAAATATTTCAACGAATATATCATTTCTTGTTTTTCCCTAGTTTAGCCAAATATCAAGAAAGGTGAAAGGGGGTTATTACCTTATGTTCCATGTACTCTAAGCTTTCTTCTTCTCCATGCATATATATATATATATATATATATAAAGGTACAAGTATCTAGGAAATATATAAAGAGACAAATAAATCAATCAAATTGAAAAGAAACATAATTACAATAAAGAATAAGTACAAATATTATCCAACCACATGCTCTGCTATGAGTAGATCACAAAAGACTCGAGAGGTTTGTGAAATGGCAACGGTGTTTAAGCATTGTCAAGTCATAGAACCCTTTTAACTGAAGCTGAGCTTGTTATTGGCTTTTATATAAGATAAGTAAAGAGATCTTTTGGTATACATAGCATGAAGATGAGATTGTATGCAGAAGACACTACATCTGTAACTTGGTTCTACTTCATTGTGTTATTTATTTCCTTTTTTTGACAAGTCATTGGGCTATAATTTATTTTTAAGAGATTAGCTAATGATATATTGGATAAACCAGAAAATCAGGTCAAAGGGAAATCTAGATAGGTTTGTTGAGATAAGTTTGTTGAGAGAATCTCAGATAGGTTTATTGAGAGAATCTCTCCATCTCTCTCTTCTTGTTGTAACTATAAATACACAATAGGACACCATCATTTCAGTGTGGTGAAAATTTCCCAAATTATTATCTTCTTCTCTCATATATTCTCAGTTTTTCACTTTTATAAAAATTAATTTTCGTAGAATTTGAAACACAATTCCTCTTTTAGCAAGAAAAGTTTCACTTTTTTTTTTCTTTTGTGTGATCATACAGTCTATACAGATGATGGTAAGATCATCTCAAGAAAGCACAAGGAAATCTGTGCTTTGGTCAAAGCATCTTGAAAAGTGATCTTATCTTATAAAAGTCTCCATACTGATTGCAGCCTTTGCTGGGTGGATTTTCAGTATTCATAACATCTGTAGCAAGTGGTATTATATACCAAATATTTTTATCTGCCGCTGTTTGAAGTTATTTATTTAATTATGTGGTTTATATGATACCAAACCAAGATATTTCAGAGACATTTAAGGCCAAAAAAAAATGTGTGTACATACATAAGGTTGTAACAGGAAATTGAAATATCATAAGATTAAGAACAACTTATCGAGAGACTGGGACAGGCGTTCAACTTGCTCGCAAATCAGCAGAAATTTACCCACTCGAAAAAAGAAAAAGAACTGCACTTCAAATGCAAAAAGTATTAAATTTTTAGGGAGATGTAAAACAATGTTATTTGTACCCAGGGAGAAGAACATATTTTTGTTTTGGATAATTGTTAATGTAAAAGACCTCTATATTTATAGAGAAATAGGCGACTCTTAGCAACAGAAATTCTTTTAGGATTAGATATGACTCTTGAACACGACTTTTGGAAATCTACCAACATACACAATCTTTTACAAACAGACACAACTGCTAAATAAACAATTAATAAATTTAATATTTCATTCACCTAAAAGTTCAAACAATGCCTCATATGAATGAAATATTAATAAATAAAACTATAATGTTGCGTTTGGTGTGCATGAATGGAATGGCCATTCCAACCATTCATTTGTTTGGTATGCAATTTAAAGTGGGAATGGTCATTCCATTAGAATGAAAATTCATTCCACAACTAAACATATGAAATGGTCATTCCATTAGAATGAAAATTCATTCCACAACTAAACATATGAAATGGTCATTCCATTCCCAAGCAAATTTTTTAAAAAAAATCAATTTCCCAAAAAACCCTCATTTTCCAAGTCCAAAAACCACCACTAACTTCCACCACAACCACCTCCACCTTTCACCACCACCACCACCGACTTCCACCACTACCACCGCCTTCCACCACCACCGCCGCCACCACCTACCGCTTTCCACCACAGCCATCGCCTTTCACCACAACCACCACCTTCCCCACCGCTACCTTCCACCACTACCATTGCCCCCACCACTTCTTTTCACCACCACTATTGCCTTCCACCGCCACCGCCACCGCCACCGCTACCGCCTTCCACCACCGCCACTGTCATCACCTTCCACCACCGCCACCGCCTTTCACCACCACCACCGTCACCGCCTTCCACCACCAGCACCACCACTGCCTTCCTCCATTGCCACCACCTTCCACCGCCACTGCCTTCCACCACCACCACAGTCACCTTCATTGGCTTCCACCACCGTCACCTACACCACTATCTCCTTCCACCACCACCACCACCACCACACTACTGCCACTGCCTTCCACCATTGCCACCACCGCTGCTTTCCAACACCCCCACCTACACCACTACCGCTTTCCACCTCCACCGCCATTGTCACCACCATTCCATTCCATTCTCATTCTCATTCCATTACTGCACACCAAACGTAGCATAAGTAGGTATAAATGAAAAGTTATGCCTGAGCAAATGTGTCTTGTGGACTTAAACCTTGTTTAACATAAGCACTAACTACCCAATGAACTTGATGTTTTGAACTGTACAGTTTTATCATGTGAACCTATGCTACAAAGCACACATAAATCTCCGTATTGTCATTAGATTCTCACGGTTGTGCAACTTGTGCTCATTTTTACCATGAGCCATATCCCGTTTTCACAAGTGTAACTAGCATTAAATTTGTGAGATATAATTTTTGTAATTGGCTAATTTCTGTGTCAAAACAAGTCCAATCGAGTTGTAATTTTCAAGTTACCAAATCAAGATCGGGATCGGCAAAGGGTGTGATGATATTTTGTGGGTTCCTTTAGCTCATGGTAGGTTTGGTGTCCGATCCATGTTCTTGTGTTTGTCAAAACTTCGTTGGTCACGATTTCCCATAGAAGTCTGTTTGGCGCTCTAAAGCTCCTCTTAGAATCGCATTCTTCATTTGGACTGCCACATTGGGAAAGATTTTGACATTGGACAATTTGAGAAAGAGAGGCAACATCATTGTCAATTGGTGTTGCTTATGTAAAGTAGATAATGAATCCGTGGATCATATTCTTTTGCATTGTCCTGTGGCGTATGATTGTTGGAGTTTTATTTTTTGCATGTTTGGCGTTTTTTGGGTAATGCCTAAGCACTCCTCACAATTGATCAACGCTTGGAGAAGATGTCCTGTTAAAGAACATGCTCGTGATTATTGGAGGATTGTTCCACATTGTGTTTGGTGGTGTCTATAGCGTGAGAGGAATAACAGAACCTTTAAAGGAAAAGAATCGTCTTTAGCTAATCTAAAAATTCATATTCTTCGTTCTCTGTTCTGTTATGTAAGAGGAAGCGCATGCTCCTCGATTGATGATTTCTTTGATCTTTTGGATGCTATTGGTCCTTAGGTTTTTTTTCTTCTTGTATTAGGGACACGTTCCCCTTTTGAACGCTTTTCTAATATATTTTTACTTATCAAAAAAAAAAAAAAATCGAGATCGGCTACGAAATTGAAGAGTTGTTCAAGTTTGATACACCGAGATCTACGAAAAAGGTGTTAACAACACTTTAGGAAGTTGAATCCCACTTAGGACACTATACATACATGGTATGTTCTTCAAAATTTCCAAACAGAAATTTTCCAAATTGTTTAAACCTTCCCTTTCAATTCTGTCATTTGGGAACCGGTACCAACCTCTTCTATCGGTTCAGAAACCTTAGCTTCGAAGAACAACATTTTGTCCTTTGGGAACAGGTTCCAATTCTGGGTACCGGTTCAAGAAGCTGATACAGTGGTAATTTGTTTCATGTTCTGTCTAAACTTCCTACTTGGTATAAACTTCTTTCCAAAAGACCCATGCACGAAATTTACTTCTTTTCTATGCATATCTAGGTTTTTATACGGCTTTTACATTAAAACTTCTGATTCTTTAAAAGCCTATTTGAGAGGTATTTTGCAAAAAATCAAATCTGATTTTTCTGTTTTTATTTCTTGAACACACACATAAACACAAGAGTGATTTTAAGGTGGTGTTCAATTCCTGATCGTGTTCAAAGTTTATTGAATATTACATCTACAACGATAAAAAAAACAGATCTATTTCTTCTACATCAAAGTTTAGATCTTGAAGAAAAGGGGTGAAGCGGTCACACTTTGGAAGGGTCAAAGCATTCGAGGAGTATTGTTTGATCTACAAACAATCCCTCTACAGAGATCAAGAGTAAGCTTGGAGTCAAGAGCTGTTGGATGGGACGTTGCACAACCAGTGGATTGTCAGCAATTGATTTTTGGGAGAACGATAGGGAGTGAGCCTGAGTCAAAATCCATTGTACTTTGTTTCAAACATAGTACACCGTTTTGCTCTGGACTGCACAGTCCACGAGGTCTTTCCCACAACAATTGGTCTATTTTAGCAATTAGGGTTTCCTCGCTAAAAATTTTGGTGTCATCTCTCAAACTCTATTTGTTTTACTTTACTTTTATCTTGCATGTGATTAATTGCTAAATTAAGTAAAGCTAATTAAAATAAAAAGACAAGTGATTTAATTTCTCTTAAAAAAAAACTTAAACTTCCCACAACGTTTTTCGCTGCACAACTCACAAAATTCTCATTGGAAGCGGCTCTGTAAGGACCATGCCCTTTTTATTTTCTTTTTTATATTTATTTTATTGCATTATCATTTTCGGGTCGCATGGGCCCAGGCTAGGTCAAGTACTCAGGAATAGTTCCCGACACTTCATTTATTCCATTGGGGCATATTTTATCTTTAAGACATTGTGGAGTTTATTTTACATATGTATGCGATTATCTTTTCATTTGGGGCATTTGGGGCATTTGTGGCATTATCTTTTGAGATATTTTCATTTGGGTCATTTGTGGCATTATCTTTTGAGATATTTTAATTTGGGGCTTTTAAGCGATTTAAGAAAGTTGTGTGCCATGTGTAGGGTTAGTTGAGTCACATGTGTAGGGTGGATATGTGTGTGTGTGTAAGAGGTAGTGCTAATGTAGGTGTGCTGTGATATTTTATCAAATATCTTCTTATCTCTCACCTTTCCTACACTTCATCTTCTTTCCTCTCACCAAGACTCCATTGTTGCTCAAACCTAGAGCTTCATTTCTCTTGCCTTCCATTGACCTTCTTGACTAGCCGTAGAAGGGAGAAAGCACGGGGACACCTTGGGCTAC